TGTTGTTGTTATCACTTCACGCGGCTGGTCGGTGTCCGCTCCACAGTCTGGCCCCTGCTCGCGTGTACTAGTCGGTAGTTAAACACCATAAACCGGCCCCGGAGTGCCCGCCGGTCACTGCTCCCTGCGGAACCGACACAGCCACACACAGACAGCGGTGTCTGACACAGTGGTCTGCATAATGTATGTGTGAGAACACAAACAGTGGAGGAATTGTGTTGCCAATGGCATTAACCGCATATACAAAGGTGACCAGTGAACCTCTCTCTGCTGGTGTCGTTGCCCCAACTTGTTTAATATAAGTTAAAGTAATAGTGTGGTAAGTTGTAACATCTGCATTATTGTTACAACTGACCCAGACTCCTATAGCCATGAACTAGCTAACATTACAGCCAATGGCTAAAACATTAGCACTAAAGACTTACACAGAATATATCCCATAGACATACAAATAACATAATTTAAGTTTGATGAGTTTAACTGCAAAGCAGATAATGCTATTAAACATTGAAATAAAGTAGAAAAACTTACTTTTTGGCATACAAATTACTTTTTTTCATGTTAATTGTCTGTGTTTGACAAAATGTGCTGATTTTTCACATGTGATAGCAGAACTGAATTGGGCATGCACAGGATGAGTCACATCATTTGAAACTTAGCCCTGATTGGAGAAATTGGAAGTGTTACAACTGACCCACGTTACAACCATCCCCGGTCTCCCTACTAGTCGGTAGTTAAACACCATAAACCGGCCCCGGAGTGCCCGCCGGTCACTGCTCCCTGCGGAACCGACACAGCCACACACAGACAGCGGTGTCGTGGACATGCTCGGCCGGCCTCGGTGGCCCTCTGCCCGGTCACTCACCTCCTGTCTGCCCGGAGCGGAGCTTCCACAGCCTCGGAGAAAGACGAGCAGCTCCCAGAAACTCTCCTTACACTGTGACGCAGACGGGCTCCTCTCAGCTCTCCACATCAAACCTACCACCGCTTCCTGCCACGCCCTTCAAAGTAAAAGCCTCCCGCACCAACACAGTTCTACACTGGTCTCCGTGGACTTTTTTTCCTTAAGCTGGATCTAGTTTTCTGTATCTTAATAATATGTTATTAAATTATTGTAATGTGATCGGGATGAACTGTGGACCTCTCACAGTAGGAACTGAGTGGTTAACATCACGCGTGGGCGTGTCAGAGTGCCAGGGTAGAATTTTTCCCTTGCGTCGGGAGCGCGCACTGATGAGTGTTTGTGGGTTACAGGAGAAAATGATGCATTAAAAGTTCTCACGCGGCGCATCATTTCCACACCGTGGCTCATATTTATTTGTATCCTGTAACTTTACTGTTTAAAGAGCCAACGCCGCTAATATTTCAGCAGTAATACGTCTTTATAAGAAGTGTTTGTGAACTAAATCTAAAAACGACAGATAGTGTTCATCCGTGATTCGGACAGCCCTGTGCGCGCTCCCGACGCAGGGGAAACAAATCGTCTGGGGATACCAACCCTGGCACCACACCGGCGATCCAGCTGGATGGAAAGGCTGTTATGTTCGGGGGTGAGGAGGGGAGGATGGGTGCCGTGTTTAGGTAGGGACTCCAGACCCCGCCGGATCAGCTGCTGTCTCTGGGATCCCGTCGCGCATGCATATAGTTTAATAGTTTAATAGTTTAATTATTTATATAGCACATTTAATTACAACAGGAGCGTTTACCAAGTGCTGTACAAGAATACAACATACATAATAAAACAACTTAGAGTATTAAAAGCAAACACCAAATATGAATTAACAAACAACTCTCATGCTGTATTAAAAGCCAGTAAATAAAATGTGTTTTAAGATAAGATTTAAAAAGATGGACAGTATGAGCCTGTCTGATGTGTAGGGGTAAATTACTCCACAGCTTAGGCGCTACGACTGCAAATGCTCGATCACCTCCATGAACCAGCCTCGACCTTGGTACAGCTAAAAGCAAAAGATCACTTGATCTAAGAGATCTAAGGGGGTATAAGTCTGCAAGAGGTCAGACAAATACCCGGGAGCCTGTCCATTCAGGGCTTTGTAACAACAATAAAATTTTAAAATTAATTCTGAAGCGGACAGGGAGCCAATGAAGGGAGGCAAGTACCGGGGAAATGTGTTCACATCTTTTAGTACGTGTCAGAAGACGAGCTGCAGCATTCTGGACCAACTGCAGCCTTGAACAAGCATCCTATAAAGGATGCTTGTTCAGGGGAAAGGTTGGGGGTGTGGGGGTGTGTGGGGGTCTATAAGTTCGGTATTTTAATGTCGGGGAAGCTGGGAGGAGGTGGCTGGGAGGTGTAGTCGCAGTTGGGGTTGTCAGTGTGCAGTGTCGTTAATTTGCAGTGGGTGGATCCTGTGCTGTGGTTTATACTGGCGTGGACAGATGCGGCCTCGCTCGGGTAAAAAAAAAAATCGTAGATCTTTTACTGAAGTTCACGAACTTTTCCGGTAAAACAAAAGATTCCGTAGAATTTCTCTACTATTTACGGACATTCCTTCAACTCTAAAACGGAAAATTCCGTTTCTTCACAATAAAATTTGTATGAATAGAAAAACTGAAAGTCGTGTTTATCATTTACAGACACTGGTTTTCACTGTAACTCATTAAATTAATTTCTTTATATCTTTACACTTCGATACAGTTACAACCTTTTACACCATCTGCTCAAAAATTCGTAAATTAAAACTTCATGAACAAAATAACTGACAGACATCAAAATGTGAAGATTTGTATTTCCCTTGAAGTCACTTTGTCCTCATGTAAACGCGTTCATGCACATTCACGTGTTTTCTTCCTACAGGACACCTGACCAACAAACATGTAATAGTATTTGTACAGTAACAGTATCCAGAGTACTTTAGGTTCGAATCACTGCTGCGGTTGTTTGGCTCAGCCAAACACGCGTGGTTCACATCCATGTGTGTCCACTCATGAGAAGGACATGTAGTCCTGCATTCACTTCATCAATGAATCCGAGTGAACGTTTGTCCTGCATTAACTCTGTGGGGTCTTCACCTTACAGTAACACGTGTGTTTGTTCACTGATGCTATATGAATAAAAGGGAACTACAGGTGTTCCTGAAACGTGTCTTTGTTAGAACAGGGCGGATGGATGAGCACAGCCCTCTCAGCGCAGGGCTGACACCACTTTGCCCCTTATAAGAAATACAACACAAATTTATTAGGACAGGTTACTAAACCAGGCTTACAGGTAAAAGGACATTTACTGAGCGGATCGTGTCAGCTGTTGCTTTTCAAGGACAGCGAGCAGCAAAGTACAGTTAGCAGTGTTTGTTCTGATGAAGACTTTAAACTGTAAACAGCAGCGCAGTGAACAAGGATCTGTGTCCACGAATGTGTCCTCTACTCATTTAAGCCAGACGGTGACTGCTGTCCTCCTCTGTGCTCTGAAACATGTTAAACATGGATGCGAGTGAATGGAGGAAATGAATGTGTTCATCAGATATGAATAAGAACAGCGTCTCCCTGTTTGTTTTCTCTCGGTTTGTTGGTGATAATAATGATTTTTAGTAAAAATCATTAAGAATCTGTTTTCCTGTGAAAGGACTCGATGTGCTTTTAGAAAACAAAGTTTTATTGGATTTTATTTTTTCATTAAATAAATAGATAATAAAACGAAAAAGAAAACAGAAGGTTTTGTATTTATAATTGTACAAATACTTGAATATATTCAGACTTTGTGATTTATCGTGTTGTCACTTTTCTTCCTTTCACCCGCTGTGTGAAAACAAAGCCCTGGGCTCCCTCTGCTGGTTCGTTAGTTGAGGACAGGCAGCAGAAAGCGCAGGAGGACCCAGTGCTCTTACGTTGAAGTTCTTCCGCTTCCTGTCTCGCTGCTATCCGGTTGTTCAGTGATGACGCGAGGAATCCTACTTCCGGGTCTAAAGTAGTCTGCGTTTAATATGGCTTTTGTGTTGTTAACATGTTTAATGTTTTGTATTTTCTTCTATTTAATCTCAAAAAGCTCCTAAAACAGTCAGTGATCACTGTTGACCTCCCTCGGCTTTTATTACCGCTAATCATTTATTTAAGCTCAGTTTTTAAAACCTTAGGATGTAACTACAGCCCAGCCCATGCAGCAGTATATGAATGACTAACCTCGTATTGTGGATGGATTATCTCAGTTGTTCTCCTGGCTGAAGTTTGGTCCTTTTACAGCATCCTGCCATGCGATTACATTTGTTCCTGACCACCGAGAACACTCACGGTAACTTTATCGAGTGGAAAAAAGTTAGCTTGTTTATATTATGCTAACATAGCTGTGTCGCTAGCGGTCACGTAGCACATCATTATATACCAGCTAGCCCAACTTCAGTAACCCTACAAACGTCACTGCTGTTTAGTTTTCTGTCTTCATTTATGTTGGAAGTGATAACAGAGCTGTACGTTTTAATTTGTTTCCAAAACCCCGCAGTCAGGACATGCTATATTGTATTTAGATAGAAGCTAGCGAGCTAACTCCCTGCTAACTTCTAACTCCGTTAAATGTCATAAATTCCGTTTTCATGGATGCCTGGATGTTAAACTCAATTGTTACACCTGGTAGAGCAGAACGCTGATCATTTTATTAAAGATGAAAGACTTTAGACAGTTTTTCAACTCTCAGTAATGCCACAGTGATCGTTTGATATATGGACCTGCAGCGGAGTTTAGGCGCAGACACGGCTAGTGACGTCAGACTGAACAACCGGATTGCGCTTCCCAAACGTCACTCGGTGGTTTCCAGGCTGTTGTTTGGGGGGCCGCCGCTGGAGGGCGCTGTGGGAGTTTATTAGTTAGGAGTTTTTTAAACGCTTTTATTTCTGTGAACTCTGAAAAGCTGCAGAGCTGTGAGGAAATGTCTCAGCGACTCGCTTTAATAAAGTTTTTAGAATCAAAGCCTGTTGGTCTGACTGTGACTGTTGTTTATTACTGTTGGTGTGAAGTGCAGGCATGAAGCTGTAACAAAGTCAACATCACAACACTTTTTCAAACTTTATTGTCAGACTACACAAAGCTTCCACATGATGACGTGTTTATGACATTCACTCCAAATTATATACAAATCAAAGGTGCCGAGCCGTTTCCAAATACACAACCTGCTCCTTAAACACACAAGTCATCACGAAGCCTGCAACAAGCGTGCAAATCATCCGAAAGCAAAACACGTTCCCTGATGCAGAGTTAAGGTGCTGGAACAGAGACCAGGAGAGGAAACGGAGACAGGACGAGGGAGTGACGTCAAACCCAAAAACCCCGCTGAGCTCATTTTCACCCATTTTGTGGTGGAAAGTTCCAGACTCTTTGACTTTCAGTGCCAGTCCTCTGTGAACTGCCTGAAAACCATTATGGAGGTGTGTTACAGCCCAGTTTAGCAGATGGGAAGAGCTGTGGAAAAATCCCAGTGTGTCAGAGCGCTGCACGCTGGAAATGTGAGCTGCTCTGTTTGCGTTTGCCACAGCAGATGGCGTTCACAGACAGACTTCTGCCTGTTGCATAACTACAAGTGTTTGTGCTCAGGAAGAGCAGGAGGAGCCTGACAGTCACCGAGGAGGGCAAACTCACCCAGCGGTTCTCCTTGTTCCTGACTGGGTAAACTTGAAAACACAGACTGTATATAAAGATGGACAGCATGGCAATCGCCCTCTGGTGGCAGGTTGGGGCAAAAGTTATAAACCCCGCCCCCTCCAAATCAAAGTGATCTTAAACATTTTCTTCTCATGAGCAGTGCTTCTTAAATTTAGGTTTTCACCACTAACCAGGTGACGTCAGCTGTTGGACAGGCCTAGAGACCGGACAGGTCGGCCCGGAAAAACAAGGATTCACCAGCTGGATGGAGAAGCACTAAACCTCCCTGTGACCGCTTCCAGCAACCAGGTGGAGAATTCACATTTTTCCTTAACAATCGGAGGTTTCCGTGCAGTCGCTGACTGTCTGATAAATGCTAAGTGTAAATGATGTAAGCATGAAAATCAAGTGCAGAGACCCTCTGATGAAGTCAGACACTCACAGGCTGAGCATCTTTCATGTTACATGGAGAAAAATCAAGCGGACCGTGTGTCACTGCTGCTGGGTTTGTTTGCTGATGGGGCGTGCAGCCCTGACCCCTCCCTGACTTCACACCACATGATCTATAATTATGTCATAAAAGCTGCTCATATGAGACCAGATCCCAAAGCCTGCAAGACTCTGGGTGCTTATCAGAGTCTGCTGTCAGGACGGCTAACCACGAGTCATTGGTCACTGCTGAGGCATTTAACTAACCAATAGGCGGAGAGGTCATGAATAATGTGCGCTTACATCAAGCCTGAACGTCAGTGTTTATCTGCACGTTCGTTTTTCTGGAAAAGGATTAGCGGTTTAAATGTCTACACTTTCAACTGAAGTTCCACGTACAACCACTAGAGGGCTGCAAACAGCCAGAAAATAAAGAAGAACGTTTGTTTTGGTCATTTAGGGGGTGCTTCAAACAGCAACAGCCCATCAAAGGTTTATATGGACTGTTACAGTATAAGAAATGATAAATGTATCTTTATAGCTTATGGTTTAACTCAGGAGCAGCTTTCAGTTCTGCCTTTGACCACCAGAGTGTGAGGAACTACCAGGACATTAGCAAACATGCACTGATTTGCCTGACATCCTCTGTCGTGTGGCTGCAGCACAGCGACACCTGCAGAGCCAAAACTGAACTGTTTCAGAACAGAGAAACTCCAGGAAACTGAACCCTCTGTTCACATCAAATGTTTGTGCATGAGATCAAACCCAGTTTAAGAAAAAGGGCTAATCCCTCCACCCGGCCTTGATTAAGTCGAACGTGCTAGCTTGGACTCTGGCCATGTGTGTGCACTTTGTAGCTGTCCTGCTGTGAATGAGAATTAGAACCTGGAAGCGAATCAAAGCATTTCTGACGCACATCATTTTGGACTCTAAGGTTGGTGTTTGTAAAAGTGAGCCGTGCTCTGTGCACGTTTTAAAAGTTTCTGTTTGCGGGAACATTTCCTCACACAGAGGCGCTGAGCAGCGTGCAAAGTCCCGCCGTGTAATTAAGCATAGAGGCCAGCGTGTGCTGGGCGTGGACCTGAACTCTGACTCTCTGCTCTGAATCCTCACTGAATGGGTTTAACACACACACACACACACACACACACACACACGTTTGTGCGAGCAGGTCTCATAGAGCCTCTCAGGACTCGAGCAGGAGGACAGCGAGAGCATGCAAGCTCCTCGGCCTTAAAGCGAGTGTGAAACAAACACATTCTGTTTGCGCTCTGCTGAGCGACAGCTGCGCAGCCCCGTCCAGCTCAGCAGAGCCCAAGTCATGGTCGCCGTCCAAGCGAGTGCGCGGTGTTGGCTGCTGACGGAGGATCCTAACGCTGGCACTCGTGTTGTTCGGCGTCCATTTTAACCTGTTTCAAAACAACTTGTTTTATGAGGCCATCTGCTCTCAATCAGAGCAGCTGGGAAAACGCGGCACAGCGCCTGCCGAGCTCTCTGGCCTCAGCAGACCCCGCTGCTGTCGGACATGTTTACATTCAGAGGCGTCGTCCTTAAACCGACACAGCGGTGTGTTTGAGTCATGTTTCAAAGACGCGCTCGTCCCGCTCTGGACAGCGTTCACTGCGGCCAGCTGCCCCAGTACGTCTTGTTTTCATCTTCATAATCTGCACCGACAGGATTTCATCATGTGGCACACAAATGTTCTTCCACGAGGCCGTTATGTAACGCAGACCTGCAGGAAGCCAACGCGCCCTCGCTCTATCCGCAGCGCTGCTGAACGTTGGTTTGAGTTTGAAACTGCTCAGCACTCATCATTTGATGCTCTGGGAATGAGACTGGAGGAGTTAAAGTACAGACGTGAATCTGAGAGCGGCTTCAGCGCTTTGTGGTGGAAATTCATTCTCAGACCGTCTTAATGTTGATTTATTATCTCGCCAAATAAAACTGAGTGCTGAGCTGCTGCCCAGGATGCACCTGAAGAGGTTTCGTATGGGGTTTATTGTTGGCTCTTTTGAAGTATGAACTCTGGAGCCGTGAGCCTCTGAGAGGTTCTGCAAGTCTCTAGGGATTAGGGTTATTGAGTACTTTGCTCGTACTATGTGTCTGCACAAGTGGTACACCGCTTTGGTTACGTCCTTAGGTTTGCCTCTTTCATCCCAAATTGGCGACTTTATATGTTTTTAGTGCTGCCAGCTTTAACGCGCCATCATCATGACTAACACGATTAACAATGAACCCATCTGGAACACAGATTGAGTCAAAATCCCTTCTTTCTGCGCTCCAGATGGGTTGAGTACATTAAAAAAAGTTTAATCGCATTAATCGTGACGACTGCGTTAATGCCGACAGCCCTATTAGTTCGTCCATGTTTGTACTTCTGCATGATTACATTGCTCCGCCCATCAAAAAGTCTGTGCATGCGTGAATATATCGCCCATCGTCGATTATTGGACTGATGATTGTCGGTTGGAAAATTTTTACATATCGCCCAACCCTACTCGAGATCTGCTATGAAATCTATTTTGTAAAGATATTCCTGCTGTGATGATGAGGATGGCGTGGCTCATCAGTAAAAGTGTGCAGGGAGCCCTGCTGTTTTTCTGATTTGTGTTTTTGCTGTAAGTTGTCGCCCATGTAAGTCTAAGAACTGAGAAAGAGACGGAGCACCTGGGCAGGACGGAGCGCTAACACCCAGCCGGCAGCTGGAGGCAGAGCTCTTCTGTCTCCGGGAACAATCGTGTTGTTTGTCTCATAGATTCAGGAAGCCTGCAGACTGTTTGCCCAGTAATGACTTCACAATTACAGTCGTTTAATCGCCGTACGGCACCTGAATGAACCACAGCTTTTGGTAACAGTTACGCTGCAGTCCATAAAGTCAGAGCGAGGTCTAAAGGCTGTGAGACGGCTCGCGGTCGATGGTCGCTGACGTGAACCTTCAGTTCATGAAACGCAGACAGATTGAATGTGAACTGGAGGAGAAAAGTGAGCGCAGAGACAGGAGAGATCAGCGCTCGCAGCGCCTGCAGCCTGAGTCATGTTAGCACCTCGTCCCCTTCCAGCTGTTTCACACATTTTTCCATCCTCGCCCACTATTACTAAGGATTTACAGATCACTTACATGCCACTCACACACCAAACCATTAAAATCCCCCAGCTTCAGTTTCCTGATGAGACACTCGTTATAAACTGTGAGTGAAAGGCTTTATGAACCACTAACACCAACAGCACATCAGTGAGTTATGAGAACATCGCTGGGCTCAGCTTACTGTTTGGTTTTGTTGGTAAAATGCTAAAAAGGCTAATTTTCATTATCTGTGACAGGTCAGAGTATCTTGACGGACACTGAGAGGTTAGCCGTGAAGCATCTGCAGATGTTTAGACTCATGAGACTCCAGCAGGTCCTGGTAGTGGGAATTCCTGTTAACCTCACATGAAGCCCAAACCTAACCTATGATGTTTAATAAAGCTACGAGTTTCTACTGCGGTGCGTTACCACAGTGGACGGTCAGAGTGTGTACATGCGTGTGAAACCTCTGTGGCAGCTGTCCTCTTATCCAATCAGAGTGCAAACATTCCCAAACCTCGTTACAGGATCAGAGCATCAAAGGGCACTACATCTCCGGGACAGGAGCAGCAGCAGGAAGGGAACGCGTCCCACAAAAAAGTGCCATCGGTGTCGAGGTTCAGTACACGAAGGTCACCAGCAGGTCCTGCAGGCGGTCTGCAGCCATCTCAGCCGGGTCATCAGAGGGGGGCGGGGAAACGGGCAGCAGGGGGAAGTGCTGGGAGAGGGTGGGGGCAGGCGGTCCTGCCACGCTGTACGCCTTCAGGGCGGACAGCCCGTTCAGCACGGCCACGTCCACGAAGGTCATGTGCAGGAAGGAGGAGGAGCCAAAGGAAAGGGCGTCCAGCTCCGCTGTGACCCCCGCTGGGGGGGAGAGGGTCATTTCCTGGTCAGGGTATGGAGTCTGCGGCACGGCGCTGTGGATCCCGAGGGTCTGCAGACCCCGCAGAGCCAGGTACCGGCTGTCCACAGGTTTGATCCCGCAGAACGACAGGCGCAGGTGGCCCACCGAGCTGCCGTTCAGCAGCTCCTCCAGGACCCAGAGCTCCTTCACCCACACCGCCAGCTGCCCCGCCTCCCGCAGCCCAGCGCGGGGCAGGGCGGAGCGTGGCACGCTGTGGCAGCGGCACAGAGAGTTCGCCAGCACTTCGTCGCAGTCCGTGACGGGGGCGGAGCAACTGCAGTTACGCAGGCTGCGGCTAGTCGCAGCGCCGCTCTCGTAGAGTAGCGTCGTATTGGCCCTCGGGGAAGCTGCATGTGTGGGGGCGGAGCTCGTCGTCTGGGGGCGGGCGGCAGTCAGGAAGAACAGCAAGCACAGTGACCATGGCAACAGGGCAAAGAATGAGACTGGAGACATCTCCATGGAGACCAAACAGACTACATCTTCACCAGGTGGAGGGAGAGGACCAAC